TCGTGGAGAGTTTTATTATTGCTGAGCTGGGAGTATACACAAATAGGGTGACTACATGTGGAGGGAGCTGCGTGGGTACATAATCTACTCTGGAGCGTGGTGTTCTTCAGAACGCGCGAATGCTTATTAAATCAGCATGCGATGGAGACGGAAACGGAGACGGATAGGGATAGGTCAATCCGCATCATCTCCAAAACCAGCCAGTTGGCTTCGCATCCCCTTCGGTATCTTTTGAATTCGCATCTTCATTTTCGTTGGGCGACTCTGATCTCTCTCTGCCATTTGAGATCCTCCAAGACGACCATACCCTCGTGCTCTCACTTAATGCTATTACGTTGCCGTTCGCGTCAAATTGCTGTGTCGTGGTTGTTGTCTCGTTCTTACCGTTGCGGACGCGCTGTCGGACTGTTTCTAAGATTTTGCCACCATCTGGTGTCTCAACGGTCCGAGTAATTGGTGCCTCCTCGGAATCCGATGAGCTTGTGTTCTCTGTCGACCCGGACTTCACATTTGTTAATTTTTGAGGGGCGGGTGTCATTACTGGGTTGTCTGTGGCAAATTCCGATTCAACAGCTGCGTATAAATCATCCTCCAGGTCTGCTTGTTTCTGAGTTGTCATAGTCTCGCGCTTAGATGCTCTCTCTGTACGCTCTGACCAGGGATGGTGCCATTCTTCCCAACGGGATCCCCAGAGCGGGAATAGAGAGCTTAGAGCGCCTGGTCGGCTCGATACTGGCTGTTGATAAAATGTCATATTCGTCTGCCAAAGACTCCGAGGTAAATTGTAGCCGTAGGAGAGCTCGCGCTTCGCGGATGGCGCGAGGGGAAAATAGGCATCCCAGAGGCCTCGACGTCCTAGACCGACTGCCCAGGCACCAACAGGCATGCCCCAGGGGAAATATTGGATGTGTTCGAAATGCTTCTCCAATATAAGACTCTGTAGATCCGAGAGCGGGCGCCCCGAGTTTGCAGCTAGAAGATCTTCGAATGCGTCTCGGAAGGTAAAACAGTCTGGGTAGACATGGGCTGCGTCTCTCGGACGAGGTTGCGGTAAGGACTGGAGATTAAAAGGAGAATATGGCGATGAAGTCACCCAAGACAGGACGTCGTTTGTATTAACACTTCCTTTCTCATTTGGATCCGAGGGGCTGTCTTCATCCTTGCTTCGATATGGAACCGGATCTGGTGTGCTTTCTGCAATCTCATCGCTTTCATGCCTCCCCATGATCATTGGCGATCTGAAGATGGTCCGGAAAGCCTGTGGGATGTTACTGCTAATGTAGTTGTAGCGAATGGATGAGTTATCCGACGAGTCGTTGGTGGATGCGTTTGGTACTTACAGATTCCGGTATTGGGTTGTCTGTAGCTTTGGAATTGTAAGACTTACATTTAAAAGCTAGCTTATGTTAGGTATGGATGGATGGTGAACTTAAGGTAACAAGTCGGGATTTGTATGGAAAGCTCCAGAAATGGGCAGCTGTGAAATGCCTATATGCGGTATTGTATAATACGAAGTCTATATGTGTGAGCAGGGTGGGGTCATGCATGAACATGGATGGAACCTGCAGGTAGCCTCCGTCGGGTACCTAAGGTACATGTAGGCTGGCTGGCAGTGGTAGGGCAGCTGAAGTGGGGCGTCAATTTATCTCATATCCCACATCGCGAAGCTTGATGACCGACGCGATTCCCGATTCCCTTACCTCGTAGACAATGGAGTATAATGAAAGGAACTACTAGGTTGCACTTATGAATACTGGATAATATTATCCAATCCCATTGTCCCGTAAATACTACTCTCCTTACTGTTTGGACATGCAACGCCATCATGTCTTCCCCGTTTCGACAATTCTCCTCGTCGCAGCCGACCTGCTTATTCCTGTTGCGATCGTCATCTTTGCGATAGGTTTCTTTCCCTATAAGCCTTTCTTACCTGGTCTAGCCGAGTACCAACCCCTCGAATATGGGCCACCACCTGAAGCGCCCTTCGATCGTTTGATATTTATGGTCGTCGATGCTTTGCGCAGGTTCGTCTGTTCGGCGCAACCACCAATCCAGCGTGATTCTCGTAGCTGATCCAACCCAGTGATTTCGTATTTCTAAACGGCTCAGGTTTTGAATTCACCCAGAGGTCAGAAACCTCGCCAAGTTAGATACACTAACTCGTGCTGCTAACACGGGCCCCTAGACTGATTTCCGATGGCGTTGCCATTCCCTTCACTGCCCATGCTACTTCGCCGACCATTACCATGCCGCGGATAAAGGCTATCACTACCGGCTCTACCCCTTCCTTCCTCGACGCCTTACTGAGCTTCGACGAAGCCGATACATCTTCCACCCTTGCTGCTCAAGACACCTGGCTTGCTCAAATGAAGACGAAAAAGGCTGGAAAGCTTGTTATGCACGGTGATGACACATGGCTGAAATTGTTTCCTGGCATATTCGATCGAGCCGACGGTACCTCGAGCTTCTTCGTCTCCGATTTTACCGAAGTCGACAACAACGTGACGAGACATATCCCGGACGAGTTGCGCAGTGATGACTGGAATACCATGGTTCTCCATTACCTCGGTCTTGATCACATCGGCCATAAGACAGGTCCTCGTGGCCCAAACATGATCCCGAAGCAGCGGGAGATGGACGGAGTTGTTCGCATGATTTACGAGGCTATGGAAACGCAACCACATCTTCGTTCGACCCTGCTGGTGTTCTGTGGAGATCATGGAATGAATGACGCCGGTAACCATGGCGCCTCCTCCCCAGGGGAGACCTCGCCAGCCCTGGTGTTTGTATCACCTAAGTTGAAGTCCATATCTAAGCACCACAAAGTGCCGGCAGACTTTGTCGAAGATTTCCAGTACTACAGTGTCGTCGAGCAGTCTGATCTCGCTCCTACTCTCGCCGCCTTACTCGGGTTTCCCATACCTAGGAATAACTTGGGGTCTTTTATGTTGGATTTCTTGCCTTTTTGGCCAGAGAGCAGGTGAACCTTTTCCTAGCCGGTAGGATTCCTGCTAACACTGGTAGAAGAACATGACAAGCTTCAGATTCTTGTGCGTAACGCAAGACAAATTCTCGATATTGTTGCTGCAACCTACAGTAGTCCAACATCCCTAGGCAAACAACTTAGCCTAGACTGTCGCCGCCCTAGTTCGCCTGCCGAAGAATTAACCTGTGAATGGCAGAAAATCAGCGGAACCGTGGATAAGGTACCAGCAACAGAAGACCTAGACGATGCGTGGATTGCAGACGTCTCGAAGGTATGGGATCAGTCTCTAGCGGCTAGTAATGTGCTAACAGCCAACAGTGGTTATCTAAGGCCCAGAGTTTAATGAGTGGTATGGCTAGCAATTACAACATGAGCATGTTATTCTATGGCGAACTAGCTGCTGCGCTGGCTTCTGTGGCGGCGATTTGCGCCGTAGCAAGTTCAGCTTTAACACCAACTACTAGTCTCGTGCCATTCGGACTAACAACCATTCTATACGGCATAATGATGTTTGCCAGCAGTTATGTCGAGGAGGAACAGCATTTTTGGTACTGGACTACGTCGGCCTGGCTGTTTTACCTTACCATTAGATCGTAAGGAGCACGGATTCTTGTATCTTTTCACAGAACTGACCTGGAAGTAGAATCCCAAGAACGACACTCAAGCGTTTTGTAATGGGACTTGTTGCACTTGGCGCTATGAGGATCACTCGAGGATGGAACCAGACGGGCCAGAAATTTGCCGGCGAGCCTGACATTGTGACTCGTTTTATGGCGTCGAACCCGCCATTGCTTTGGTGCATTGTCTTTGCAACATATGCGGCGGTGTCCGTGGAGTTATTCAATAGCCTTGGAAATATGCCAACTGCCATCTCGGGCTCCGTGGTTGCCGGACTCGTGACGTCTGCCTTGTCTTTCAAGCTCGCTTTCACCAACGAAGATGCCCCTGAACTGGTTGTAGGGTTTGCGAGGACGCTTGTGGATATATTCGACGGGCCGTCCCTCGTGAACAGAGCTCGAGCCGTCTTCCTTGGTCTTGGACTTACGTCGATGTATCCCCTGTACCATATTGTAGCGCGGGGAACCAAGGTGTCTCAAGATGAGAGTGAGTTTTCTCGTATATCATCTAAGGGAGGTATAGTCCTTGCTGACTTCTACCTAGCCATGCGGACTTTACATCACCTATACACGTTATTTGCCTTAACGCAATCCCGGGCTACCAACGTGCCCCTTTTCTTGCTATTTCAAGTCATTCACCTCTTCTTGAGCAGGCTCAATTTGGAGCCAGCCCAGATCACCACGTCGTCGCTGCTTCTTCAGTTTTCTTCTTTCTTTGCAATGGGCGGTTCCAATGCAATTTCGGGCGTAGATCTGTCAAATGCGTACAACGGCGTCAGCGGATTTAACATTTTTGCCGTGGGTGTTCTGACATTTCTTAGCAACTGGGCGGCTCCCGTGTGGTGGACGTCGGCTTCTAATTTGCTGCTACTTCAGAGCAGGCAGCCGACAAGAAATGGCTACAGCGGCGTGTACAGGCAGCACGCGGCGCTCTTGACGGCATTTGTAACCGTCTCCCTCGGTTTTGTGATGGTAGCTTGCACGACCCTAAGGACGCATCTGTTTATCTGGACGGTGTTCTCTCCTAAGTACCTGTATAGCATGGCCTGGAGTCTGGGGCAGCATCTTGGTATTAACATGGCGTTGGGGGGCGTATTATACTGGCTCGGCTGCATATGACAGGAACTAACAGGGATCTTCACGATGCGTTCGAGATAGGGCCAATAAAGCCGGGCGTTGGTCGCTTTAGGAAATACCCTATAAACATGTATGTAATGATGACCTGTATAATTAACTGAATTGATGTTCTAGCTACGTACACATGATGTAGGTAGTTGATGGAAGAGGTTGATGCAGATGGAGGAATTTGCGGCAACATGGTTTGTAAGGGAAAACCTCGGTTATTTATGGAAGGGCTATTTAGTGTGTAATAACTGTTGGTTTTTCCAACAACTGAAAGCCGCGTGGTGCAGTGGTTAGCATGGTGCTCTTATACAGTCTCTTTATGAGGTATGCATAGGTCGTGGGTTCAATCCCCACCGTGGCTATCTTTTTGGACGAGGATCGCGATATTGATTAATAATTGTAATCCTCGTCATGCAACCATTTTAGATGTCACATATATCTATCTTTTTCATTCTTTTTTCTATTGATACGATCTATCTCTTGGTTGTTTGTAGGAAACGTATTAATTTATATTGCTTTACTATGTATAAGTTAAGGTGTTTAATTTAATTGAATTAGTTGAATTGGTTGGAAAATTAAACTGGCAAAACTGGCAGAACTGGCAGCGAGCTGTTGAATGCTTCGTTTTTGTAATCGACCCATGCAACCCAATTCCAGCCCGCCCTTAGAATGATCCCTGCAGCAGGTATATAAAATTAGGTGTTTCCCTAGCGTGACAGGCGTATCTTATCGTACCCTAGGTACATACCTAGGTACCTACATACCTTTGAAGTCTGGAACGATCGGAGAAAGTTGTACCTGCAGGCGGATTACCCAAAGCTCTGGGAAGATGGGAATGACCACGTACCGTGACCGTGACAAAGTCGTGACCCGTGTCATCTCATCATCTCATCATCTTACTTCTTCATCCCTGTTGCTATATTCGGCCTCTTTATTTTCTTTCCTTTTCGCTCTTTATGGATGTTGTGAGGCAAACCTTTTATTCTTCCATATCCTATTGTCCTGCCTCGTTGTCTTTTTTCTATGCTGCGTCTTGTATTATATTAACCGCGCATTTCGAGCTTTCTGCCTACCCGTAATGTCAAATATTTGAGCCTAGGAGACCTTGCTTAAAAAGGAAGATACAGCGCGTTTTCTGTCACTTGCAAGATACCTCGCGCCGTTACTGCGACCACGACTGCGATTGCGACAGCGTCCGAGACTGCGACAACATAATAGTAGCCATTGCGTAAAAGTAATTACAACTTCAACTTCTTCAACTTTGCCTTCGACTTCGACTTCTACCTCGGACCTGATCTCGACTGTGTGACTGCGCGACTGCGAGACTGCGACCGCAAACCCCCAAACTCACCCACAATAGTACCATTACCATTCCTCTTTCGCCTCGAGTCTACATCGCATACAACTTCTTAGATGTATTCCTATGGGTAGAATCATGTGGCGGCGTACCTATCTGCTTCTTGTTCTGGTACGGTTGTGGTTCGCTCTCTCGCCGAGCTATCTTCACCCGGATGAGAATTTCCAGGGCCCCGAGGTGATTGCTGGTAAGCATCGATATACATATTGATATACATATTTTACGGCGAGGCGGCAGAGGGGCTAACAACTTGTGTGTATCATTTAGGTCAAATCTTCAGCTATCCGGTGCGGTTGACCTGGGAATTCACGAGCGACCATCCTGTACGTAGCGTCTTCCCCTTATGGCCGGTTTACGGACTACCTATGCTCCTATTGCGATGGCTGTGGATCGGTAACGGCAAGGATGGCGAGATACCGCCCATCGCGGTGTTCTGGACCTTGCGAGTCCTGATGTTCATTATCAGCTTCGTGCTGGAAGACTGGGCTATTCATGAGCTGGTTCAGTCGAAGCGACATCGTTGGGTTGCCATGTTGCTTGTGGCATCGTCATATGTGACTTGGACTTTCCAGACTCACACTTTCTCCAACTCCATCGAGACTCTTGTGGTCGCATGGTGTCTGGTGCTCATCGAGCGCATTCTCGAGGCTTCGGTTCGTTTGCGCGCCCCCTCTCCTCATCTGAAGCTACGAACTAACACGTGGATCCCAGCAGACTTCTTCAAATCTGGCAGCGTCGACAGTGCTTGGCATCGTGGCTGTCTTTGGTGTTTTCAATAGAATAACTTTTCCTGCATTTCTGCTCATACCTGGGCTTCGATTGATACCCCATTTTTTAAATAGGTAAAGTCTGGCTCTCCCCCTTTTCCGTAAACCTCGTATTGCTAACTATTTGCCGGCGAAGACCTTTGTCCCTAGTAGTCATGGCAGCTTCTGGACTTGTTACAGTTTTAATTGCCATTTCCCTAGACACATCCTTTTACACTCCGCACTCCATTTCCTGGTTGGACCTCTACCGCAATCCAGTCATCACACCGTTCAATAATCTGCAGTATAACCTCTCGCCTTCGAATCTAGCTGAGCATGGTCTGCATCCCTGGTACCAGCATCTTCTGGTCAACCTTCCATTGCTCATTGGACCCGCTGTCGCTCTTTTATTTACGCGACCACTTCTGTCTCTAAGACTATACTCGGCCATATCAGGAGTGTTCGTCTTATCCATCTTCCAGCATCAAGAGGCCCGATTCTTGCTTCCGACTATACCACTGTTGCTCTCGTCCGTGCGGCTCCCCAAGAACCCCACGTATTTGAAGATCTGGGTTGGGGCGTGGGTAGGCTTCAACGCCGTTTTGGGCCTTCTTATGGGGGTGTACCACCAGGGGGGCATCGTGCCAGCACAAGTATTCCTCAGTAACCAGCCAGATGCAACACAAGCCGTGTGGTGGAAAACCTACATGCCGCCCATATGGCTCCTAAACGGTAAAAATGCCGTTCTGCGAACCAATGACGTGGCGGGTATGGAGGGCGTGAAGCTGTTGGAAGAGTTAGAAAGGATGGCGACTTGCGATACACCGGCTGATCGGAGGAACCATGAATACCTTAAGGAGCCCAACGGCACGTATCTTATCGCGCCACTCTCGACGACGTGGCTGGATGGGTATATAGACAACAAGGGTTTGGACGGGCTTAGGTTTCGGGAGGTCTGGAGGTATAGCAAGCATTTAAACCTGGATGATTTGGATTGGGCGGAAGACGGGTTTTGGCCGACTTTAAAAAGAGTTATTGGGAGACGAGGACTGGCGGCATGGCGAGTTACAAAGAGCTGCGGCCGTTCTACGAGATGATGAGTAGAAAATATAATATGAATTCCCTATAGGTATTCATTGCAGTGTCTTACGACGGAGCCACGAAGACGCGAGACGAATTCATGACAATTAACTGGCACACTTCAAGGGATAGTCCGGTCGTGGTATTTTCCAGTTATTATTAGTGATTTATGTTGTCAACTTTCTACTTATGAAGTATGTACCCCTTTTCGGGGGGCACCTGGGTGTAGGTACCCGTGCCTTGGAAACACCCGCACAGCGCATGGGTTCATTAAGGTTAAGTGGGACCCTGGAAGCTAGCAAGGGAAAAACGGATATACCGATGCAACGGGTCAAGGCTGAGAACTCTTTTTTGTGCATAGAACCTCTAAAACTGCTGGAAGCTTTCAGTATTTCTGCAACGCGCGACACAATTCAAGATACATGTGATTGCCAATACGCACCAGACCTCACGAGCGTTGAAGCTCTCAACTCTCTCAACTTGATTCGAAATGGGCGGCTTAAACCTAGAAGTTTTCAAGGTTAGTATAGCCCAGAGTCCAGAGCCCAGAGCCCAGAACCCAGAGCCCACAGCTCCGTGCCCCTCCACTCTCCTCCCATTGCTGCTTCGTGTGTTGGTCGCCCTGAAATTGATGCTCATCCGCTGCGACAGTTCGGCATGTATGTCATGTTCCCCATCGGAATCATGTACTACTTCGGCACGAATCTCGATGAGCGCTTCTCCGTGCCTGATTTCTGGCCCAAGCCCGAACAGGCGAACAGAGTGCCCATCGACAAAGACGAGATCCATGCCGAGCTACAGCGGTTACGTGCGCGACGACTGTATCTTAGAGATAAGAGACTCGAGAATGAAGCGAGAAACCCGCCGCCTTCGGCCGAGGACGGAGAAGGCGACAGATCCTAAGGACTACCTATGCTACACGGGTGAGCTCCGTTTGGTGGTTATATATATATATATATATATATATATACCTAGCTCTGGCGTTTAAGATATAAAATATGGTCAGCACAAGGTCGCCACAGGACTGCGCAATTTGCGCTCAGCTTGGAGTTCAGCCCAGGTGCCGGGCTGACGGTTCATCTCCGCCCTTGGCGAAGGTGGGATCCAAAGAGGGCCGTTTCGCGATGTGTACGCAACCACCGTTCTTATACCGCGCAAGTCCATGTCTACACATTGTACAATAAATTACAGTAAATGCTACATGTTATGTATCAAGGTTGTCTTCTACTTCCTTCCAGACGTCTTCCGATATGGCACCTCGTTCCGCATTCGCGCTGCCGCACGAAAATATTAGCAACGGCCATTGAAAGAAACCTAATAGTATACCAGTCTATATGTACTTACTAGACACCCTGAACGTCTGCATACTCTTGTAGCTCCGTTAAAAGCTTGCTTATAGCCGTTGCCGCAACCGCATCATCGAGCTTGGTCTTATCTGCCGTTGGCGACCACATGATATCGGAGCTGAGGATCTCCGCCGAAGGTAACGCCTTGCCTAGGTTCTGTATCGCTTGATGCATCGTGTTCGGTTGTGTCCAGATGACAATGTCATCATTCTCGTCTTGTTCAACATCCTCTGCACCAGCTTCGAGCGCCTGCATCAAGACTTCGTCGAATTCGTGACCGTCATCTCTTAGAATGATGCGGCCCAGTCTCGTGAATAGGAAGGCAGTAGGCGTCACGATGCCCTTATGTTTCTTGATCATGGTTCTCAGTTCTTGCAAGGCACGTGGCTTGTTCTCCGTCTCGACGTCGATAACCATGGCTACGGACGGTGACATCATAACCTCGAGTGTGACACTTTCTAGACCCGCGCCGGTGGACGACTTTCCCTGACCTCGTGCGACGGCTACATCAATGCTCGCCTTGGGCATACCGGCTATTCCTCACGGTCCTCGTTAGATAAGTTCTCGTGCTTCTTTCGTAACCTCTGTTTAAATATAACACTGTGTCTCGCTATGTTATTATCAAATACCTTTCTTTGCAGCTGCGATTACCGTGGCTAGCTGTGGATTCAGGTTCGGGTCTGAGCCGTACACTATCCCGGACATAAATCAGCACTCCACCGGGCGGAATTGTCTTCATACAGGGCACAGACATTTCGAGTAGAGGGTCAAGTGTTTGGCGAAAGTAGACCGTTGGATATTTTTCTTGGCATCAGCGGCGCCTTTCTCATGTT